AGTAGGTGGAGGCATAGAGCAGTAAATCAAAATGCCTATTCAACACTAAGCAGGAAACATTTCTGATGTCCACCACAAGATCAGTGCACAGGTTCCTTAGGAAGGGTACCTGCCAGTAGCCAAAAGGAAGCTCTGAAAGCTTAGAAGGCTCATCTACAAATGTAGTTTTCCCCCGATATTGGCTTTCAGTGGGTAGAGGCCATGCTGCTAAACATCTTTCAATGCATAAAACAGACATACAGCTAAGAATTATATGGCCAAAAAGTCAATAGTACCAAGACACTTCGCAAACCACTTTGAACACTGCACAAATCTTGTGTGTGTGTGTGTGTGTGTGTGTGTGTTTCAGTTGCATTTTTACCTTTATTGAAATAATGAAGCATAACATGCTCAAAATGTTATTTTTTCACCTTCAATATTAAAACAGCTGCACAAAAATTCATCAATTTTGACTTTTATTTTTAAAATGCACACTGATATGACAGCTGTCACAATACAACAACAAATTTGTTTCAAATGAAGTACTAAGCACTACTGAGGCCATCGTATAGTACAGGGAAAAACATAATGGACTTCTGACCAACCCAACAGAAACACTTACAATAACCTTCAGCTTCAACTATGTGAACCTTCCTCTAATTTACCCAGGAAATTTAGGTATACCTGTGTAGTCTCATCACACCTTGATAACTCCAATACAATAATTACATCGCATATGATCATACCATTTTCCCCACCACAATCCTGTAAGGTTCTTAAAGGAGGAACCACCTCTTATCCAGGGGCTTTGAACTATTCTGCACATAGAGGAATTTCGTGATTTGTCATATACTAAGAACACTGCTGAAGACAACACAAATGTACACTATAACTACACATGAAAATCTTTATGAATAAAAAAAAACTTGGTTAGGTTGGTGGACTCACAAGTGATTTTTTAAAAAACTGCCCATTCTTTACCTCTCTCAGTTACCTAACTCAAGGAGCCTCGTTTACAGACAGTGTTCAGTAAATACCTGTGGAATATTTGCTTTAAAAAGACACCGAAGGTGAACCCTAATGTAAACTTTGGACTGCGGGTGATACCGACATGTCAATGTGGGTACAGCAGTTGTAATGATGTGCCACTCCGGTGGAGGATGCTGATTATGACAGAAGCTATGCATGTTTGGGGTATCTGGAAAACCTTTGTACCTTCCACCCACTTGTGCCGTAAGCTTCAAACTACTCTAAAAAAATCACGGGCTATTAGAAAAAAAACACATAGATGCTAAATTAGAAGTCAAATTTAGCTTACTCTGGCATTAAATGCACATGTAAACACATGTTAGATCCCAATATTTTGTTCAGTAATAATACATATTGCAGACTTATAATAAATTTTAAAAATTAAGCCCAAACTTCTAACCCAAGTAAGACTTGTTTCCTGTGTATGGAAAATCTGACCGCAATAACCCCAGGTGCAGCGCATTGGTTTGCCATTATACACTAACCCAACCTCCACACTTTGCTAAGCACCTATGTAGGAAAAGCACTGTGGACACAATGGTGAACAACACAAGTTCTGTTCTCGCAACATTTTTTCCAAATAAGAACTTTATTCTGCAAGATAAATCTTTAAACCCAGCTATCAACAAGATATCCCAAAGTGGCAAAAACAAGTTTCTTTTATTATCTCTATTTTCCAAATAATTAAAAAACTCTTATTAACCATTTGAGAAAGTAGTACATGACCTGGTTTACAACAAAAAGTTAATGCCTCATTTACCTGGCATCCTTGGGAGAGCTGATGTTCCACTTAAATAAATCTTCCAGATAATTCACACTAGTCCATTTAGTAATCAACACTTGAATTGTTTAGCATGGAAATCTTTCATTTTTTTAAAAAAGTACAAATCTTTAAATTTTAAGAAATAGGCTCTATTTACATTACTTTGATTATTACATTGTACAACACTCAAGCCTCTCCAGGGAAGTCCATCCAACCTGAGGCCCAATGCATGCAGCCCAACGCAAAATCATAAATTTACTTAAAATGCTATCAGATTTTTTTTTGTAATTACATGTCACAATGTGTTTAATGTGTGGCCCAAGACAACTCTTTTTCTTCTAGTGTGGCCCAGAGATGCCAAAAGGTTGGACACTATATGCACCCAGCATGCCTTTGTAAAAGTTCCTGCCTTTTTTCCCCCTGATCCCTGGCTTTTGGTGTGTCAGCTGTCAAGTTTTGCTACTACTAGTGAACCTGACTTTAGCAGCCTCCTACCCACCTCAAATTTGCTACTACTTGGAAAACAAGTTCGTCAGAATTCTGCTTAAAACACACAGGTTTAAGAAGATTGCCAAATCTATTTTTGGTTGCTCATCGTCTTCTAACTCCTGAATCTGTTAAAATCTATAGTTACAAGTTCCAAACCAAGTTTTAGATAAATAAGTTACTGCTATATCTTGATGAAAGTTGCTTAACTTACGTTGTTTCATATTTAAAACTGACGCTCAGAGATAACCCCATTACCTATTCACTCATTCAACAACTGCTAAAGTATATCACCATGAGCTAGGCTCCAATATCATGGTGAACTGAAAAAACTACTAGTTTTGAACATATTTAAAACAAAAAAAAACCCCTCTAATACAAAACACTTATACTTAGTGCCTACAAAAACAAAAAAAAAAGTGTTTTTTAAAGTCCTTTAAATGAAACTACACCCCACCTAAACTTTTTATAATATCTGTAGCTTTCTTCAGACTTAGTAACAAAGGACAAAGAAAGCTTTTTTTAAAAAAAGATTTTATTTATTTTTAGAGAGAGGGGAAGAGAGAGAGAAAGAGATGAAGGGATATAGCAGTGTGTAGTTGCCTCTCAAGCACCCCCTACTGGGGGCCTGGCCTGCAACCCAGGCACATGCCCTGACTGGGAATGGAACCAGAGACCCTTTGGTTCACAGGCCAGCACTCAGTCCACTGAGCCACACCAGGCAGGGCAGAAAATTTTTAACTAAATATTTTAGTTAAAGGAGCTCTGAATAAGATTCCAAGATTTTTTACCTTTCCTCTTCTAGTACAAATTCCCATCTAGCTAAAGAAATCACTACCAACATATGTTTGATATTAAATGACAGTCTTGGTAATGATAAGCATGCCCATTTCAGCATCATAGTAAGTTTACCATCATTTTAATGTCAAACAACACTAACTAGAAAAAAACTGTTCATTCAGGAACGTTTCTGTCCAAATTTCCAGAAATTCCAATAAACTTGACTTAGGGGTACAGAAATTTTTCTTAAAAGTTTTAATTAAGAGTGGGTTAAATATGGTATGACTCTACATGATTTGCTTTAACTGCCACAATCATATTTCTTACATTCCATTACCCATTAAAACCTAAGATTAGGAAATGAGTCCAGAAGGAGTTCAACTTAAAATTGGTCTCTATGGATTAATTAAGACATCAGGTAAAACCCCTGGCATCAGCTTTACTTGTTTTCATTCCCCTGAAATCTCCCTTCTCATTCACATTCTCTTCAGGGAGCATAAGTAACTATTAACATTTTAGATTTTGTAATTTATTAGTTATTGCTTTTATTATTTTATTTTCTGGACCAGAAAATGGGTATCAATCATGTGCCTGCTGAACTGAGAAAGTAAAATTAATATTTAGAAGTGAAAAAAGTTACTACCATTAAAAACTTTTTTCAGCAGTGTGTTAGTATCTTTTCAACATTCATTTTGCAACCTAAAAATGCTTTGAGCAGCACTATAAAGGTAGATACTGCAAAAACTTTCAAAATAACAATGTACTGCTATTCAAAATGTCACTTAGCACTTTTTACAAGTTGACACTGACCTCAATAGTACACCACCTATGAAAGAAGTCTGATTTCAAATAAAAACAATTCAGAGAGAAACCGAAATATAGGCTCCAGCTCTCTGTACAAGCAACTTAGGCAGAGAAGCATATGACAAATATTTACCAGACACACCTGTTATTAGCAAAGTCTCTACCAGGTGCTCCGCACCACCTGTTTAAAAAAAAAAAAAACCCAACACACAGACATTTACATTATAGCGAGAAAAGATATTAAAAGAAATTAATATTAACCAATAGGAAAAATAAATATATGTGAATTAAATGATCATGAACATGTAACATTCTGGCAGCAGAAACGGAGAGCACTCAGTTCAAATGTAAACAAAAACAAAATTCTTTTTGCCTCCCTATTTTAAATCTGGAAATCAAAAGCAGCAAGAACTAAGAAGTGGGCCAACAGAAAAAAAAACCCACGAAATTCTCAGGAGAAACTGGTATTGGACCACTCAAAACAAAGTCTGTGAGTGCTCATCATAGTTCCTCTCCTAAAATCTCATCAAATTAAAAACAACTGATTCCTGGCTACCAACTCTGCAGAAACCGAAGCTTCAGGGAAACACTCTTGATGTTTGTTTCTCTGATATCACTTACGGTCCATCTACAGAATCGAAGGAGTCGGGAGTAGGGCAACGGGGAACCGGTCTATTGTTCAGAGAACCGAAGCACCAATTGAGCACCACCGGGCGCGCGGGAGTTGGGGGAGGTGAGGCGCGAACTCGGCACAGGTGTGTGTGTATGTGAGCGCGTGTAGGGGGACACAGGTGTGCTAGGGCCACAACTAAGGAGGAGAGGCCCAAGTTCCAGACCGAGACATCAAGAAAGGGAGGGAAACAAAGTCATTACTGAGGCTTAAACCTCTAAGCAAGGATGGGGAGGGGGGGTACTGGGGAGAATCAAAGGTTCCCGGAGCCCACCCCAGTGGAGGCCAGAAACTGAGAGTGGACAGTCCTGAGTATAAAAGAAAGAGTTATCATATCGAAGGGGAAGCCCAGAAAGCCCAAACAATGAGCAACGATAGGTCTGGGTGAACGGCGAGGACAGGGGTTGTCGCGGGGGGTGAAGCCGGGTGGGAAAAGGGAAACAAAGAGAGAACCCCCAAGTGTGAGCCCCCACGGCGTCTGCAATTTACCTGTGAAAGCTGCCGGGGATTGGGGCAGCCGAAGAGCGCGGAGCTGGAGCTGAAGCTGATGGCTCCTCGGCGGCTGAGGACGTGCTGGGGGACCGGCCTGTCCAGGGGCAGCACCGGCAGTTGGTAACATACTTCCATTGAATACGTCCGCCCTGCCCCGGCCGCCGGCCCCTGCGCTGGGAAGGGGCCGCGGCTGCGGGGCACCGGGCCGAGGCGGGGGCAGGGCTGGAGGGTACCGACTCCGGGCCAGGAAGCCGCACTCACGCCTCCGCCACCAGAGCACAGCGCCCGGACAGCCGGCGGGAGTGCGCTTAGGCGGTCGCAGCGACAGTTAACAGGACCCGCGAACGCCCGGATCCGGGGTGCCCGCGGGGGTAGCACCGGCAAAGTCGGAAAGGTAACCCCACCGCCCCAGGGCTCTAATGCGGGGAGGAGTAGAGCGGGAGCGCTGCAAGAAAAGAGAGCTGGAACCAGCGTCAAGATCCAGGGTGCGCCAGGATCAAGAGCAGCACCAGCTCAGGTCGCCGCCGCCGCCGTTCTGCCCCTCCCCTCCCCTGGAGCCTGGCTTCACTCCTCCAGTGGCGCGAGCCCAGCGTAATTCACACTTTGCAGCCGCGGACCCTGCGCCAACCACGGCCGCCACCTCCGTGACGTCACGACGCCGCGGCGCAAGCCCCGCGCCCCGAGCCGCCGCAGCGCCAGTGGAGACGGGTTAGCGGCGGAGGTTGGGAACCGTCCTCCTTCTGTTCTGCAGTTTGGAGCTGTGTCACCTTCCCTCGCGGCACATACCGCCCTCCTTCCCTACTAACCTCAATCCGCACCTACTCCAGCTGTCTCCCCAATATGCTCCCCACTCAAGGCGCGTGCGCACGAGGCCCCGCCGAGTGGGGACATTCCCCTTATCACTAAACTCTAGCGTTCTAGAGAGCTGAGGATGTGGGGTGGGTTCAGCCCGTGCGAGAGGCGCGACTCCAGCCTCGCGACTCGACATCCAAAGCATCCAGCGCAGTCGCACCGTTCAGCCCAGACCTCGGAGTCACTACTGTGTTTCCCTCCTCGAATTCCCATTCTGAGCTTTGCTCCGGACCGCTGCGGCAGTGACGTCAGCAGGCCGCGCGGGCGCTATGCTCCCGACTACGTCACTCCCAGCCCCCCGGTGGGGCCGGGGCTGGAGAGTTTCCCTGGCAGGTGCGGGGCCCCGGGGCAGTCCCGGCCTTAGTGGAGAATTGGGGACCTGAGAATGAGGAGGGGGAGAAGAGGTGGAGGGAAAACACCTACACTGATGAAGAGTGCACTGGAAAAAATGAGTAAAGATTATATATTAAGAAAACAAAGGAAAAAAGGACACTGCTTGCCCTTTTACCAAAAGTGTTTGTTGGCTTTGATTTTTAGAAAGCATGAGAATCTAAAGAACTCTTGACCTGGTTTGTAAGCTGGATATGTAAGTTGGCAGGTTCCTTTTGTCACATTTCTCCTTAAACTGTCAAAGCTTTTCAACGGCAACCCATTGTTCCAAATACATTCCAGCCTCTAGGGATGTCAGCATGAACAACCTCTCCCTTGATGGCAAAAATTGTTAATTTGGTTCTGTTCTCAGGGCACCCACCCTTCCACTTATTTGCTATGACTAGCCACTGGCAAGGGGGAAAGTACTGCATAGCCCTTACAAATGAGATCAAGTGTTAAATCCTCATGATCGCATAAATCAACAAACGCCTGCAAGAAGTTTTATCATTTTTCCATGGCATTTGATTCTTTGAATATCACTTAAAACTTTCTATCTCCTCCGTTGGTATTTGACTATTTGCTCTCTACTATTAAAAGAAATACAACTTTCAATATAGTTTCATGGATTTTTGTCTTCACTAAATAGTAACCTCTCCTTTAGTGCAACAATTGATCCAGCTCATCTTTGAAAACCTAATAACTCCCACAATTCTAGTAGATGTATTGAGCATCTACTGTATGCTTAAGATTAAGCTGAGCACTGTCTCTTATTCTAACAAACAAGAAAGTCCTGAGACAATAGTACTTAAATTGAAACTAGGCTCAAGGAAACACACCTTGCTCTAGATCTTACACAGGTAAGTGGCAGAACTGACCTCAGATAATGTTCGGATTCTGTGGTACAACTAACAACCCAGAGTAGTATTGATGTTATATCAGACAATATATACTAAATAACTATCTCATTTAATATCTAAGAGACTCAGTTCAATTAAATCATTTAATAAGATCCAGGGCACTAACTAAACAATGTATTTCCCCTCAGCAGAGTGGGGAGAGAATATTTGCTGTGCACCCTCTGTGAGCTGTAATAGGTATTTCATATACAATGTTTAACTTAACCCTACATAACAGCCACATAAGCATACATTTGATCCTAATTCCACAGATGAGTAATCAGGTTCCAAGACCATAAATCATTTATGCCACCAAACTCTGTTCTGTGTGATCTCAGAGGCATGCATTTCCACCACAATATGGGATATCTCAAATATCTCAAGACCAGAACTTCAACTGTTTTCAGTGTTCTTTACAGGGAAATGTACTAGTGCTAGTGTTGTCCAGAAAAACAGAATATGAATATGTATATGTATGTATGTGTATATATATATATATATATATAGAGAGAGAGAGAGAGGGAGAGAGAGAGAGAGAGGTTTGCTGCACATATGCCTAGTCCAAAACATAGCTGCTGGAGGATCTATAGGCCCTGCTGCTGCCCCTTGCCAGTGAGGAGTCAGCAGATCATATACAAAATTACAGTGGTGCCTAGGACCCTGCATTGACCTTCCAAGTATAATGGCTGGTGCTTCACTTCCATTTAAATCTGAAAATTTCTATCATAGCCAACAAAAATCAAAATCATAGAAGAAAGAGAATTCTGGGAAATGTAGTTACAGCTTAGCTAAGTTGACGGTACAAAACCACCCCAGTCCAACTCTTATGAACTTGACATCTGTACAGAGTTCTTTCAGTTGTATTTAATTTTCAAAAAAGTCCATAGCAAAATATGTTTATGTCCATATGAGGCAACTCTCTCATACAACCCAAAACAGCTCCTTCTCAAAAGACAATAGAGTCTTTAAGGGATGTTCATTCCTCTTTCTGATGAGTCACTGTACCCTTTCGATGGCCTGTAACTTAAATACCAAGATAAAAGGTTACCCACTATTAACACATTTTGGGGGAATGAGGAAAGGAATAATTAGTTAATATACAATGCACAAATATATTCATAGCAAAATGAGGGGAAAATGCTCATAACTATTACAATGTTTGTATCTGCAAATGGCAACATGATCACAATTGCTATTTATAACTACTTCCTCTTTGATTACCTGTTTCATATCTGTTTTGCCTTCAGCAAGCATCTCTGCTGATAGTGGTTCCTTGCCTTGTGGGGCAACCCAAACCCTTATTGCTTTAGGATCCGGGCCATTAAAGGTTCTACTTCTGTTGGGCTGTAGTTTTCCATTAACTCACATCACAGAATATGTGAGTACTAAGTATTAAGGGGTGCCCCTACATTATTTCCTGCAATGTAGGCATATTCCTCCCTTCTCCCATTGTGTTGCAGTAGCTCAAAAAATGCTTAATAGTCAAGATCAGTCACCCCAGGCACTAGAGAAGCCCTCTTCTTTGCATGTTGGTTAAATAGCAGGAGGATCCCCAAATGGCCAAGTGGCAGTCTCAACTTCCAGTTTAATTGAACTCTTGTAATGTAACCTGGTGGAAACATTCTTTGGGAGGACTAAGAACTCTGGACCTTGAGAGCCCAAAGTTGCAGGAATGGTAAGCAAAATTTTGCATGGGATTCACTAGGGGTAAAAGTGAGAGGATCCACTCTCAGTCATACACCTTGATTCCTCATCAAGGTGTATGGATATATATTTAGATTTAGAACTTATGTCAAAACTTGGGAAATATTATCCTTGCCACACAAGGTGTTGCCACCCAGATGGAGCAATTACTGAATTTTTAAAAGGGCATTCCAATGCTATAACATGGATGATCCATGAAAAAAAGCTAAGTAAAAGAAGTCAGATACAAAAGGTTACACACTGTATGATTTTGTTTATATGAAATATACAGAATAGGCAAACCATAGAGACAATAAGCCAATCACTGGTTGCCAAGGGAGAGGGAAGAATGGGGAATGACTGCTTAATGAGTATAGGGTTTCGTTTTCAAATAATGAAAAACTTCTTGAACTAAATAATGATGATGGTTAAACAACATTGTGAATGTACTTATTGCCACTGAAGTGCACACTTTTAAATGGTTAAAATAGCACATTTTTACTTCCTGTCAAAATGGCAGCACAGGTAAACATGGCTTGCCTCCTCTCACAACCACATCAAAATTACAGCTAAATTATAGACCAACCATCATTCACAGCTGTCAGAAATTGAGTTGAATGAAGTCTTGACAACCATGGAATTAAAGAAACTGCATCCATTCAGGTTGGTAGGAGGGGCAGAGGCATGGAACAGGCTGGTCCCACATCCACATGTGGTGGATAAATATTTGAGATGGATATCTTGGGAGTGACAAGTCCCAGTCACACACCAGGAGCCCCCAGGCTAGCATTCCAATGCCAGAAAGATATGTCCCCATAACAAATGGACATATGGACAGCTTCTGGCTGCAAAAAACAGCAGGAATTGTATCAGTGGAAGAAACTTTTGATGGAGGGGGGCTGGGATGGGAGTAAGAGACAGAAAACTGTACTTGAACAATAATTAAATGAAAAATTTTTAAAAACGTTTGGAGTCCCAAGAAGCTCTCCTTAAACAACCTACATATGACCTCACTCAGACTCATTCCCTCCGAGCTCCAGCACTGGGGTAGCATACAGGGAGGAACTGAAGTGTCCTGCATCAAGGTGGGAGCTGATGGACAGCAGTCTCCTAGATCAGGGGTGTCAAACTCATTTTCACCAGTGGCCACATCAGCCTCAAGGTTGCCTTCAAAGGGCCAAATACAATTTTAGGACTGTTTAAATGTAACTACTCCTTAACTAGGGGTAAGGAGCTCGGCACTTCCACCAGGTGAAAACAAGGTGTGAGCCGGATAAAACAAGGTGGAGGGCCAGGTTCAGCCTGCGGGCCTTGTGTTTGCCACCTGTGTCCTATGCAGAAAGGTGGGCAGAAGCTATTGTCCCTTTTCTGAACCCTCCTCCCACAGAGCCACAGAGCAGGCAGGCATGTGCCCTATCTGAGACTATCAACCTGGCTGACACTGTTTACCCAGCCCTGGAGATCCCCTGAGACTCCTTCTGACCCGCCTTACAGATATTAACAGTGGATTTCCGTATGAATGGCTGGTCTTAGCTCATGCTTCACAAATTCCTAAATCCTTCCAAACAAGCAACAGCCAGCCTTGGTAATCTCCTAACCACTCTACCTCTTGCTAAGTGGTCCCATGCAGGGCACTAGCAGCAGCCACAGTGTAGCTTCACCTGGGAATCTCCAAACTCAGCACAAATCGCAGCCATAACTCATGCTGGGTGGCCCTGGGCAAAACACAAGTGGGGGCTGACTTTGGCCTGCACCACCTAGGAAACCCCAGGGGTGGTGCACCCAGTGGACAGCTAATCCTTGCAGCTGACTGGCCTGGGTAAATCCCTCCCATGACCCCAACAATAACCAAGGCTCAACTACAAGAGCATGGAGTACTCGGCCCACACTAAAGGCGTACCTTGAGTTCCCAGCTTGGGAGAGAGGGGAGGCTGTGCCACTGGACCTTATAAAATGCCTACTGCAGTAGGCCATGCTACCAAGACAGGGAGTAATAGCAGCTCTACCTAATACATAGAAACAAACACAGGGAAGCTGTCAAAATGAGGAGACAAA